TTTTTTTTCATCTAATTTTTATTTACATATAAATCAGTTTTTCGTATTTCAAATTACTAAACATAATTCAATGTTATTTTATATTTTGAGATGTAATCAACGAAATTTTGTATGTTACAGACGATTTTGGACTAAAAGATAAAGACCTGCCAATGGAAATTCAAATGATTGGTCAGGGTGTCGATCCTGACCAGAGCCATCATAATAAAAATGAAGAAAATATTAACGAACAACAAAATCCCCGGGGGGGGGGGGCAGGCCGCCTCTCCCCCCGTAACAAAACGTTTCGAGGCCCTGGAGCAGCAGGTGTCTGCTATGCACGAACTGCTCCAGGGTCTTGCTGCTGCAAATCCTGGTAAACATAATAGCGCGAAATGTTTAACCTTTTATATTAATTATATCTTATATGCTATATTAAAACTATACATTAAAATATTTATTGAATCTTGTTTAATATTTATTGCAGCTGCAACACGAAAAAGAGGTGGCGGGAAAAGCAAAGAGCGATGGTATTCCCGCCACCGACAACAAAAACAGCAGCAGGTAGGAAAGGAGCAGCAGCAACAACAGCAACGACGAGGCCGTGGGAGAGGCGGTAGGCCCTCCCGAGGAAAAGTTTTAAGATAAATCTATCTGTCCTCGAAATTATCTCTTGGTGATTCAATAGACGTAGTAGTTCTATTAGTTTTATAAGGTTTTTCATATTAAAATTTAAATAAATAAGTTTTATATTTTTAGTTTGTTATTTTAATATTAATATTTAAGTCTTATTTTAATAAATCAGTTTTATATTTCATTATGTATTTATTTTCCTCACTCTTGTGTCCTTTTTTCATCATATACTTCATCTGATCTTTCTCTTGCCTATCCGCTTTCTAAAGATTCCTACTTTCACTCTAATTTATTCCAATCACAATCAATATGTACTCATATCAGCATATTGATTATTTAGCTGATACACATTTTACATCTATTTCCTTATTTTATATTGTTTCGCTTCGGCAATTAACAGTTAATAACATACATGTATATCTAATATTATAATTTAATAAAGCTTATAACATAAAGTAGAATCCCTATTTCTAACAAATCACTGTATATATACTGTCTACTGAAAGATACAATATCCATTATTCTTTAATTCAAACACAAGTGCACTGACATAAACGTCATTAAAGATGTTTAGCTTATACATGCCCTATGGTAAAAGAGAGAAGAGTGGGTAGAATTATTTACGTATCTCAGGTCGTGCAAGCAACAGTACGCATGTATAACAGTAAGCAGTACACAAAAGTACGATGATGTGAGCGAATCGCTAAATCGTCGCTCGTTACGTCCTTTCCGCAGAGCATTAGTGCAAACGAATCGGCAATATGACGCTTGTGTTGCTCTCGCAAAATTTGACTCGTTCGCATCCTAGTGATCTCTGTGTTACACTCATGGGTTGATGTACTTAAACAATCACCGCTCACTCTGCTCTTTTCAACACACGACATCGACAGGCAGGACACCATTAATAACGCTGTCACATGACTTACCTCGTCGCATTGGCTGTACCACTGGTTGCTTGTACTTGACACAAGTCTCAATTACGTGTTTTAATCAGTGCCATCTGTTATATAAAAAAGTAGATGGAGGTACGAAGACGACGACGATGACTGAACTGAATTAAAATCACCTCCTTTGCTATTTCAATATGCCTTGATCTCGTACAGCAATTGTATAGATCTTGGTGCCAATCGATTCAGAACAAAAAACCTAAACACAGAAAACTATGCAGCGGGACTCCCGAACACTCTGAACTTCCACATCTAACACCTAGATACATGAAACTACGAAGCCAAACACCTGGACACCCTGGACTTCCACATCCGACATCTACATACAAGAAACTACGGGGCGGAACACCTGGACAGCCTAGACTTCCACGCCCGACACCTAGATACAAGAAACTAC